TGATACCCTCATGATTATGTTGATATCATGTTCATGCATTTTATCATGGCTCAGCATATTTGAATTCAAGTTAACCAGATTAAATTGAACTTGAACAACTGTTGGCTGAGTCATGGTGCCGCTGAATCGAGCTGACCAGTGCAACCACGCTTGCCGGTATGGGACGGTCCTAACTAGGTCTATTGTCGTGCCTCTCGCCGGTGCCTCCAACGAGGGAAGGTTATGGGCGTGTTGTACCCTGGCCCGGTAAGCAGGCATAACCTTGTGTGCCCGTTGTTGAGTTTTTGGATCCGGGTCCCTGTGTGGGATCATGGCCACGATGGTGGTCGTTGTGTCTTTGGTAGACACAGGGCCACCCATGACTTAGCCCAAAGGGGAGTTGGTCGGAGTGGCCGGGAGAGTGTCATGGCAGTAGGACGGTTTTGTCGGAACGTCGTTGGTCCACCCGAATGGGAGTGCGAGGCCATGGGTTCCGTAGTGTGGGTACGGTGTACTAACCTCTGCAGAGTGTATATTAAATCTATCGAGCCGCGCCCGCGGATAAGGGCCCATTTCATGTCGGTCACACGGTGAGTCAATAGTAATAAGAATAATGTTCTTAATAACAATGAGATAAGTTGGTTGTGATCGCCGTAAGGATCACGGGCCAAGTGTTGGTCATGGTTGTGATCGCCGTAAGGATCACGGGCCAAATATTGGTCGTGGTTGTGATCGCCGTAAGGATCACAGGCCAAATATTGGTCGTGGTTGTGATCGCCGTAAGGATCACGGGCCAAATATTGGTCGTGGTTGTGATCGCTGTAAGGATCACGGTTTGAGACCAAGTGTTGGTCGTGGTTGTGATCGCCATAAGGATCACGGTGGTATCGAGGATACCGAGTTGTTGTATATTCGTGATGTTGTGCGAGAATCGTGGGTAAAAATCAAGCTCCTTGTGGTCATTTAATGATTACTACGGTATTGTTTATACCAAGCTTGATTTGATCCTGAGATGATCGTGTGATGTGTGAGGATGGTAAGTGATGCATGTGTTGGTTACGAGGTAGCCCGAGCAGAATAAGTGGTGCATATAGTGTCATCATGTTGCATGCTAGTATCGTCAGATTCATATGTTCATGCCAGGTTCATGTTGTTCTAGCTGTATCATGTTCATGTTGATGCCATGTTGCTATGATGATATCATGTTAATTTCTGCTTAACCTGTAATTGCCATGCTGTTGTTTGTCTTGAATGCTTCTGGTTATTGTGAGCTTGTAAGTACATTCAATGTACTGACCTGGCGTGTCATGCCAGTTTGCAGGTCATTCTGGATTTGGTTGCTTGTTTGTCGTGGAGTCCTTGTTTGTGAGCTAGGATAAGCGTTCCAGCCAGAGTCCCTGTGGAGTGGAGTTCACCACCGTCGTTGTTGTTCCGCTGCTAGAGTTCTTACGCTGCATCGTGTTGTTCTGCTGCTTGCATAGAGCAACAGTGGCAGGCGTAGTGTCGCCATGCCGATGTAACCCTTGTACCCAAATAGATTGTAGTAAAGAGCTGGTTTGTTCTATGCTAAGTAGTGCCGTATTCCAGAAGACTTCATCTTGATCTCTGGGCTGGAATACGGGGCGTTCCGGTTTTCTCTGAGCCGGGGTGCCACACCGGTGTGGTGTGAATTTTGCATGGCCTGTTGAGCCATCCCTCCAATACAGTTCCACGCCATGTAGTGCGCTTTGATTTCTTTGTGATTGGATCGGGTGACCTGCGAGAGTGCACCCTTTTGGTTCGGACGAGGGATTTAGTGAGAGCCGGAGGATCCCAGAATTTTGCCTGTGTTTTCCAGGCGCTTTCCATCGCACAGTACTTCTGTACTATGGCCGCCAAGTCAGCGAAGTGTGATATGTCATGGTGACTTATGGCGTTAAGGATTCCCTTGTCCGTGCAATCTTTGCAAAAGAATGAGATTGCGTCTTCCTCGCGACAATCATTAACCTTGCTCATTGCAAGGAGGAATCTGGCCCAAAAGTGATGTACTGTCTCTTGGGATTGTTTTCTAATGTGGGAAAGATCGATTGTATCTGGGTGGGTGGGTGGATTTAAGTCCGAACCCTAACCCGATCCGAGACCCAGAGGCTGAGGAGCTTCTGAACTTGGTAGTTCGGGTTCCGGGATGTTGCCCAATTTTTCTGGCCCGCTGTCCGATTCTAAGTTCAAAGTTTGGGTCATGTCCTCCCGCGTACGGGTATCCGGCTCGGAGAGCTCGGGAATCCGGACATAGTTCATCCTCAAAATAGAGGAAGAATCGCTGCATTGCTCCTCCACCACCACTATTTGATGGGTGACCGGCGGAGAGTTAATCTCTCTTTGATCGGGTTTAAGCCCAATCCGATCATAGTCTGTAGCGACTCCCAAGGCGGCGATGCGATCCAAGAGCTCGTTCAAGGACGAAAGTTCCATTGGATCCATCCGCTCGGCGTATTCCGAGCTGACGTGGAGGCTTTTTTCGGTGACCCGAGAAGTCATCGTCGGCGCGGCGGCCAAACGGGCGATCATGACGAAGCCGCCTAGTCGGAGGGTTTGGCCTAAAGCCAGGGCTCCCCGAAGATGATGTTGTCCTTGATAACAAGGCGAGCTGTCAAACCTTTTTTCGACGTCACAGTGGAACTCTCAATGAAAGCATCAATGTCAGTGTCAAAACCGGCGGATCTCGGGTAGGGGGTCCCGAACTGTGCGTCTAAGGCTAATGGTAACAGAGGGTGGGGGACACTATGTTTACCCAGGTTCGGGCCCTCTCTATGGAGGTAATACCCTACTTCCTGCTTGATTGATCTTGATGATATGAGTATTACAAGAGTTGATCTACCACGAGATCGTAGAGGATAAACCCTAGAAGCTAGCCTATGATTATGATTGTTGTTGTCCTACGGACTAAACCCTCCAGTTTATATAGACACCGGAGGGGGCCAGGGTTACACAGAGTCGGTTACAGAGAAGGGAATCTACATATTCGAATTGCCAAGTTTGCCTTCCACGCAAAGGAGAATCCCACCCGGACACGGGACGAAGTTTTCAATCTTGTATCTTCATAGTCCAACAGTCCGGCTGTCCGAGGACCCCCTAATCCAGGACTCCATCACTCTCTCTCTCTTGTAGATGCTTCCTTTCGCCTCCCCATCGGCCCATCCTCTGCTTGTCTCTGTTGCGCACGGCGATCAGACGGGCAGACAGGCGGGAGCACCTACTTGACACATTACCCGTCAAATAGAGGTGCTGCCGCAGGGGGGGGGGGTCCCTGAATGGGCCGGCCCAGTACAACGGCGTCAAAACTGTTCTTGTTTTCTTCCTTTTTCCTTTTTATGTTTCTTTTTGTTCTTTCTTTATTTCGTTTTATGTTTCTTTCTTCTTCTTTTTTTCCTTTTCCTATTTCAAGGTTATTTTACCTTTTTCAAACTAAGTTCATGTTTGAAAATTGTTCTTGCTTTATAAAAACTAGTCGACAAGCCGTATCCAGACGAGCTAGTGATTTACATAAATAGGGAAAAGTTGAATAACTTTTGACTTGGGAAATCTATGAGAACTTGGAAAGCATATTTAACTTTTCCCAACTAATCACTATATATTACGAATAACAGGGCTTTACGACTAACAACATACAGTTTGGGTGGTAACATACATAACATAAAGCCACATATTTCTGCTGGACACTCCATCTCACAAGGTACATATTCAGTTATTACAAGAACTCAACTAGAAGAACTGTCCCAGTGCGACATAAGAAGAAGAGGTGCAAATTACACACTGGAAATATTAAAATGAAGCCTAAAGGTACAAGTTCAATTAGAAACATCAAGTCTGGCCTTACACAGGATAGTTGCGCTAAAACAAATCTAGGATACAACCAACAAAGACATAATCACCAGCCTAGGTATGAAACCCCTGCACCAACTCGGATCAAGCTGTCGTCCCCATTTCCTCTGCAAGCATGTCCTTGAGGAATTCTAACCTTTCATCAAAGTCATGCTTGACGTTAACAAAGATAAACAGATATTCTTCATCGCTCAGTAACTTTGGATATTCCGCTAACATATTGTTCTTGACTCCATGTTTACTCAAATACTTCAGTGAAGTAGCCTTGTCATCAATGGGTTCTCTGGATGCCCTCTTCGCACTCTTCCTTGACACACTTTTACAACGTAAACTTGTGGAATCAGCAGAGAAGAATGCCCTTAATTGTGCCTTACTGATAACGGCTTTAGCGTGGAATCCAAAGTTTCATCAAGTTAACAAACAAAACAAAAAGAACAGGAGTGGGGCAAATACCGTCTGTTCAGCTCGAGAGTAGTGTATTGCACAGTTTTTAAGAAGTCTCTGAAATTTTTGATATGAACAGTTTTTGATATGTTATTTTTCAATACATGAATATTCTTTGAATTGGCGAAATTTTGTGAAATTCCTAAATACACGACCTTTTAAAAAAAACTGAACGTATTTTTATTTTCTGAATATTTATTATAAAACTCGAAAATATTTTTTTTAAATCACAAACATTTTCTGAAGCCACGGCATCATGTCCAATCTAGACAAGATCTATTCATGTAGGAACATTCCTTTTTACTCCGCATATTAGATTTGTGCCTAGTCAAACTTTACAAACTTTGACCAAATTTGCATAAAAATATATCAGCATCTACAGTATCAAATATACATAATATGGAAATATATTCCATAATGAATCTAAAGATATATTTCTTTGGCATTGTAAGTGTTGATACTTTTCTTTCTGTAAGCTTGGCCAAACTAGAGATATTTTGATTTCAGACAAAAGTTATGTGCAGACTAAAAAAACGGAGGGAGTATATAAATTTAAAAAAGGAGACACCACTGAGGGCACGCCGCAAGGGGCTTTCCCTCCTCGTCGCCGTCGTCTCGTTTTGTATATACAAAAGGCAGAGGCGGGGCGCCTCCACCTCCATCCCCTCGAGACCTCACCAGTCGGTATAGAGTATACTACACACGAATCACCAGCCATGGACGCCAAGTGGGCCGTGGGCATTGGCGTTGACCTGAACGCCCCGCCGCCCACCGGAGACGACGACTGGCGCGCCCAGTTCCAGCCCGAGGCGCGCAGCAGGGTCGTCAACAAGATGTATGTATGGACTCTGCTCGATCTGCTCTGCTCTGCTTTCCCCTCCCTCTAAAGTTCTAACCCGTATTCATTCGGTCCTTCCTCCGCGTTTGCTTTCGGTTTCCCAAGGGATTTCCCGCCTGTTTTCGGGTCGATCCATCAGATAGAGCTTCGATCTAGCCATGTCCTTAGCGGCGGCAACAGATTCTTCGTCGTCGATCTACACGCAAGCTCCCAGTTTCTTGCCCTCTACACTCGGGTCAAAATTTAACTAGCATTGAGTCCAGCCTAATTACTTCATTTAACTTAACTAGGATTAAATTATGTCGGAGCAGTTCAACATACAGATGTCACAACAACGTTTGATCTCCTAGGGGAAACCCCCCATGCTATTAATTAGTACTGTGCCGGGATGCAGTTTTGTTCTGAACGACTGAAACTAGACTTCTTCCTATGCAGTATGCTTCCCCAAGTGGACATGTATTCCTCCAATGTTCAGAATTACGCCTTGGTCTTAGCAAAGTTGAAAATTACGCCTTGCTTATAGGAATTCAGAATTGGGGATCTACCTTAATTGGCTGCTCTGCCTACCCGTTCCACCATACATCTCAGATGCCACATATTTTATCCACATTTTGCATTACACGTGTAGAATGGAATGTCTGAAGAAGCATCTGCCGGTATCAGTGCCAGAGGGACTGAACGAACTTCAAATCATCGCGGTGCGGTTCGAAGATAAGATCTATACTGCAGCGACCAGCCAGGTAATTTAATCCGTCTTGGCGGCTACTCGAAGCAGAGCACAGTTTATTTTATTTTTAGCTATGGGGGTCAAACAAGGTTTATGGGCTAATAATAGAGCAGAACTGTCTCCAAATGTTGTAGAGGATACTTTTTAAGTCATGTTAAGTACTCCCTCCGTAAACTAATATAAGAGCGTTTAGATCACTATTTTAGTGATCTAAATGCTCTTATATTAGTTTGGGAGTACCATGTATAACTATGGTTGAAATGTTAAAAGCTGAACCACCTTCTCGAGCATGCTAAACAGCTAATCAACCAGAAATGTTGGTTATTTGGTATAAAACTTTACATCGTTTTCCTTTGTATTACCCAGTCTGATTATTTGCGGAAGATCTCTCTGAAAATGCTATCTATGGAGACAAAGGCACAACAGGCTCCTGGAAATGCTCAAGTGATTCCAAATCAAATGAACCTCGGTCAAGGTATCATATACAGTAAACTGAGTGTTGGACATTTTATCGTTTTCGCTTGGATATCGTTTTTGTTGCATCAAACGCTGAGATTGTGTGCTTTAATGCATTAAATCAACCTCCACCCTCTCCAGCATCATGTTTAAGAATGCCCGACGGAACCCCCTGGCGGCCCACCCAGGGGCCAGACCCCGCTGCAGTCGCTGCTGCCGACGCCGCCGCCACTGCTGCCGCTGGCGTTGACCCGAACGCCCCGGCCCCCACCGGAGGCGATTGGCGCCCCCAACTTCAGCCTGAGGCGCGCAGCAGGATCGTCAATAAGATGTAGGGATTGTAATTCGATCCTTCTCCACTTTTTCGGTTTCTCACGTACAAAAAAGAGAAATTTCCCGCGTGTTTCCGGGCCAATGTTGTCATCGATCCATCTGATATAGCTTTGATTCAGCCATATTCATAGTGGCAGCAACAGATTCGTCATCAATCTACACACAAGCTCCCAGTTTCTGTGCCTCTACTCTTAGGTCAATAATAATTCCTGCTGGGGGATTGACTAATGAACTCCGTATTGCACCTGCTTTTAATCCAACCTAATTACTTCATTTAACTATAATTAAATTCTATCTAAACAGTTTAATAGTACAAGTTTATTGACAAAGAGGTGCAAATTTGTCATGGCATACACCAATACAGTATAACACAGATATCACACGTTTGATCTCGTAGGGGAAACCATGCTATTAGTACCGTGCCGGGATGCAATTTTTCCGAAACTAGAGTTTCTCGTATGCTTCCCCAAGTGGTATTCCTCACATGATCACAAGTCATGACTAAATCAACCCGCGCAGCACCTCCTTGGTCTTATCAAAGCGAAAATTATGCCTTGCCTATAGGAATGGAGGGTGTATATGGTTGAGAATTGGCTGCTCTGCCTACTCGTCCCACCTTACATCTCAGATGCCAGATATTCCATTGCACACTATGCATCTTCCAATTTATTCACATTTTGCATATACATGTAGAATGGAATGTCTGAAGAAGCATCTGCCAGTATCAGTGCCAGAGGGACTGAACGAACTTCAAAAAATCGCTGTGCGAAGCGAAGAGAAGATCTATACTGCAGCCACCAGCCAGGTAATTTAACCTATCTTGGTGGCTACTCGGAGCAGAACTGTCTCCAAATGTTGTAGAAGATTTTTTACATCATGTTTAAGTACCTTTAGCAGTTTACCTTTCCTGGGATACCTTGGGTGACTTTTTTTTGCTCTCTAGCTGCCAATGTTTTCTTTACCTGCTCTTGGGAACATATCCTGATTTTTCTCATGCTTGGAAACACACACAAATTTTCCTGCGGTTGCCGGGACTTGAACTGGGCCATGGGTCTGTCAACGCCCACACTCATCCATTTGGAGCACATCTGAGTTATTTTAGCATTTTCACACTCAGTACACATGCAAATAGTAAATTAATAAGCTACTATATTTTAAAGATTTTTAATGTTACATGAATGATAGACTGAAACGATGATCATGGTTTTGGTTATTATCGATCACATGTTGAATCTTGTAGTGAACTATCTCCTGATGGGCGGAACTGTTGGTTGCAAGCCATTATTAGTAATTTGGTATAAAGCTTTACATTGTTTTCTTTTGTATTACCCAGTCTGATTATTTGCGGAAGATTTCTCTGAAAATACAATCTATGGAGAAGAACACATAACAGGCTCCTGGAAATGCTCAACAAATCAAAACAACCCCGGTCAAGGTATCCTGTACAGTAAACTGAGTACTGCACATTTTATCATCTTCGCTTGGATGTTAATTTTTTTATTGCATCATGTGCTGAGATTATGTGCTTTGTTGCATTAAATCAACATCCACCCTCTCCAGCATCATGTATAAGAATTTTGCATCTAACTTGTGTGTCATGTGTCCGTAGTTATTGAACCCGGAGCGTTGATCGACACGGTAAGGGCCTCACTTCAGTGTTCAGACCGCCGGTTTAGCGGTCCAACCTGTTGGCTAAATAAGATATTATGTACGGTTTTTGTCTGTTAGTATGGTCGAAACAATGTTAAGTACAAAGATAACAAACGAGCACAGCCTAGTTAGTTATGGTCCAAACAATGTTAAAGATGGTCCGATTGCTTCCACCTACAAAATATTTTACTGACCCCTGGTTTATGCCGGTTCATAAAAGGTTGATTGGATGAACAGGGCTTGGTTCCGGTTTGTTCTGGTCGGTTTTAATAACTATGCATGTGTCAGCAGCAGTATTGTGAAAAAGTCCATTTTTTAGGTTGAACTATTGCAAAAGTTCACTTTTCAACTTTGAACTTGTAATCTGGTTGTTTTTAACCTTGAATTACTAAATCGGTTTACTTTAGTCCCTGGGCCCTATCCAAAGTGGTTTCTTGGTGATATGGTATCAGCTTATACAAGTCGACAGGAATTTATGTAACAAAAAAAAATCATAATCATAATGTTTTTAAGGAAAATTATCTTTTTAAAGGAAATTTATCATGCTACACTTTATATCATTCATCAACTAATATTTACTTGCTTGTTCTTGCATGTTACTTGTACTCCCATTCACTGTAAGTGCGATGCCTATGTCATTTTTTTTTCGAATACGCATGAGTGTGCGTATCATATATTGATAGAAGGAAAGGGGGAAGAAACCCCGTCCACAATATTTACATGGCGCTTACACAACTCGATCCACCGTGTCAGCTATAGGTGGATTACTCCCCGTACTCCCACCCATCTGCCTCTACATGTACCGAGAGAATAGTAAAATCCGCATGCAGGATGCCTACCTGCTTCCATATTGCACCCTCAGATTGTATTCTCCGTAGCACATGCCGCACATCCGGGCTCTTACCATCAAACACAATCGAGTTCCGATGCTTCCATATCTCCCAGAGGACCAGTACCTGAATGGGACGATGCCTATGTCATGTCGATGCTGAAATTTGTTGTTGAGCAGATTGTATGTCATAAGCATCTAGATCAGCATGCATTCATTTTATCCTATGCTCTTGAATGTCCTGCGATCATTCAACGTGCTCACTTGACTTGTTCATTTGGCCAGATGCATAAGCTGACGATTATCATGATACTCTGAATCCTATCCCAGTTCTCAATTGGCTGTTCGTGTGGGGATGGCGTCTGTCCATGTTCGAGTGTGATGTATGTTTCCGCTGCCAAATGAGGAAGTTGTGCTTGTGCCCTTAGTGCCATCGAGGTGCCATGTAATAAGTTAGACATTGTGTAAGACAATTATTGTTTAACGTAGGGAATTTCTGTATCGACCGTGCTTCCTAGCTTTGAATGATCCTGGGGCTAGTGAGCCGACTAGATGGGAAAGCGAGGCTGGATTAACAATTTGAAGCTGATAATGTTTAAACAGTGTATGACTAGCTAGCTGTTAACCTCTCTCTACTATGCAGTGCATGGGTAGGATTCAGAGTAAAGTAGCCTAAGAATTACTACAAGCACAAGGTGCTGAAACTGGAATAAGAAGAAGGGGTTGAGAGCTGGGAGAGATAGCCGCCGCCGCGGGCTCTGATCGAGTCTTCCTCGTTGCCAGTCACTCGTGGGTTGGGTTTCCTGGTCCTTCTTGCTAGGCCTTGGGCCCCCTCTTCATCAGGTTCAGTACTTGGTTGGGCCGGTGGTGTAGTGCTGTGGTTGCTAACACCCTCACCAACCACAGGGGCATGGCATCCTCACCAACCATGCAAAACTATCAGCAGAATATAACATCAATACGAGAATAAACTGAAGCATGGTTGGGCTACAGGTGGATCTTCTAGTTTTGCTCAAAATCATATTGTTGAGAGAGCATATTGGGTACTGCCTGAGGCAGAATGGCACCCATGACACTGAGTGGAAGAAATACCCACTAAAATAACATCGAACTTTAACGTAAGAGGTCATGACATGGGGATATATAACTATATAGGCTGATATGTATGCCACAGACATATAATCTAAGCATCATAATGTATATCATCGGATACAACTTAAGTGACGTTCATATCCTCAGATAAGAATAGGCGACATTGTACAATTCCAACTAAATCTTCTGTCCATAGGTGCAAAGCATCGTGCAACAGGTAATAGTAAACTTTCTTTTTTTGAAAATAGACCTGAGCCCAGCTTTTAATGGAAAGCTTCAAATAATACTCCCTCCGTTCCCAAATATAAGTCTTTTTAAAGATTCCAACAAGTGACTACATATGGAGCAAAATGAGTGAATCTACACTCTAAAATATGCCTACATACATCCGTATGTTGTAGTCCATTTGAAATATCTAAAAAGACTTATATTTATGAACGGAGGGAGTACGTAATCTTTAAGCTCATAGTAAACTTCCTATTATGACTTTAATATTTCTGTGCAAAGACCAATGCTAATCGTACAAGTGCAGTCAAGTTTCAGAAGATAAACCAACCAAAGGAACATTGCATATGAATGCCAGAATCATCGGAAGAATTAAAGCACAAATGAAATAGGAACAAGCATATGTAGAAGAGGAAGGAACCTGATGGGTCCAACTGTAATGAACTACTCCCTCCGTTCCAAATTACTCGTCGCTGAAATGGATGTATCTAAAACTAAAATATATCTAGATACATCCATATGTGCGACAAGTAAATCAGAACGGAGGGAGTAGATTCTGAAGCAGAAGCAGTGGAGCGATTAACTGATTCCTTGGCACTAGCAAGCAACGCATTGTATTTTACTCATTGTGCTTTTGCATTCCCAGTCACTACCCACTGTGTGAGAATGTGAGAAGAAATAGTAAATTACCAGGGATTAGGATTGCAGAATTGGATGAAAGAATTCTCCAGAAGAGGATTTACATTATTCTCCTCCGATGTGGCTCCAATTATGTGGATTCCTTTACATTTTGCCCATGGCATGCTCCCTCACCGACCAAAAGCCTAAGAAACAATGAATACCTTAGCAACTCAGGATTACAGGTAAGGTGGTCAGGTGACAGAAAAATGACACAAAGGCTTTACATTTGCATTACATATTTCAGCATTAAACATGATTAGAAAATAACACAAGGCGGAACAGTCATGACACAGAAAATTGACACAAGGGCAGAGAAATTGCTGAGAATAAAAGGTTGTAGGTAACCAAAACGTGTAGAAGAAACTTGAATTTTGTGATTACATATGGTCAGAGCTTTAAGCTTCTCTGATTGTCAATATACTATCCCTCCGTCCGAAAATACTTGTCATTAAAATGGATAAAAGAGGATGTATCTAGACGTGTTTTTAGTTCTAAATACACTTCTTTTTGTTCATTTTGATGACAAGTATTTCCGGACGGAGGGAGTACATATGAACAGTATCTCACTTAAGCTTCACTTTGGAGGATCAAGTTTCAGTACGTTTGCCACGAGTACCTTGCACATGCAGCTCCGACAGCTCCATAGGAACCTGCAGCTCCATCCATGATACTTGCATCGCCATTCGACCCGACCACTCTCGGTCAAACTTGAACCTCGGCCAGCATTTGTGATGGGGTTTTCCTAGTCAGCCAGAGATGAGAATGAGAATTTAGTTACATACTCCCTCAGGTAGTGGGAATGCAGACCCGCAGATACCAAGCGAACCTGCCCGGCTGGCGTTGCGACTTGTGTGGTGACCATGATGGTTGCAAGATGAGCAGGGTCGTGGCTTGCCTTCGTCGCCGACCGTCTGGCATGCTCTTGAGCTTGAAGTCGGAACTGCGGCGTTGCGGGGCGACACTGCAGCAACGATGCCGGGCGATGGGCATGTCGGACTCTGTTGGTGCAAGGCATGCTCCTTTTCTCCCGCGAGGCTCGTCATCAAAGTCGGAGCTGCCTCGTCCTCGACGCAGGCGGTCGATTGTTTGGACTTGGCCGGCAGGGTTTCCGTGTGCTGTTTGTTCGGAGGGGTCTTGTTGGGTCGTCAGCGACGAAGTCGGAGTCGCTTGCTCAGGGAGAGGTGACGACGATGACATTGCAGGCAACCTCGACGGTGTCCTCTCCTCGGCGGTGTGTGTGGGTCTTGTGGGTGCCTTCTCTGTAGGCATGTTGTAACGGTTTTCGCCCGGGTTTCCGTTAATTAACGGGGCAATTCTCTTCTTCCTAATCACTGAAAATGGCAAGTCTTTTTGCCTGGTTTAAAAAAAGAAAGAAAAGGGGGCCCTTCCTGAAATCCACACAAACTAGGCCACTAGTATACTTTTCTGAAGGCCTGATCTGAATGATGGCGTAATGCTCATCGATCCATAGCCGGTGGACCGTGGACTACTGTATCGCTGTTCTAATCTATACTACTAGCTAAAGAGCCCGTGCGTTGCCACGGGTTAGTTTAATTAATTTATTTCAAACATGGATAATTTAGTCGAAGAACAATCTTTAGTTCAATTAGAGCATTTAGAATTTTTGTTGTCCGAACCATGGGGCAAAGATGTAACGAACCATACTCATTTCGTCCGACGGTGCCTCCTTCAACTCCTCAGTGCCCTAGGGTCGAAGATGAGTTGTGTATGGAAGAGTTTTTGAGTGGGAGAAACAAATGGTGGAAGGAGGGTTGCTGTTGGAGAGGAAGGGGTGCATGTAGGACTTCAGCTGAATGCCTATTTTCTTGACTTTGGAGTAAATTTTTCGAGAGTTTAATTACTAATTCAAAGGATTTTCATACATTATTTAAAGTGAGAGCTGCCGACTTAAC